TCTCTCCCATATTAACCATTTCAGATCAATAATATGAATATTCATATTCTAATCAGCAGGAGGACTATGAGTCGGTGTTCCCTTGGATCTTATTAAGAGCTAGTAGAGGCTAATCTCCCTACAATATTTATTTACTATTTTCATATATTTATTACGTTTTTTTTTTAAACACTACGAAATGAATAATTTCATAGTTTTATTAGGCATTCTAATTTTTGTGCAAAGAACATAAACCCTAACGTTATTATACGCTTCCGCATTTAAATTATGAATTATATAAGTTCCGGATCGTTACAATTATAATATATATGTTTTGAATATAAATATAATTAAATTTTTGCTCTATAAAGTTTAATAAGAACTTACTATTTTTAGTATTTTACTGTTGTAACACTTCTACGATTAAAAAATTACATACATTTTTTTAAGTATTTTAAATACGGCTTAATTACTATAAATGTTTTCCTTAGAAATATAAGAAAGTTATAATATTTTAAATAAATTAAATCCATGTATATATATATAGTATTTCAATGTGAAGCTAGCGGTATTGTCCAAGGGGCAAAGTCAAAATGAGAGATATATATATATGTGTATATATATATATCAATAAGCTTGAGAAAGAAGAAAATTCTATGTCACAGTTGAGTGATTTTCACTCAACATCCATGATATCATTCATTTCAACAAGCAATTAAAAATAAATTAATCAATATATATTTTGTTAGATTTCAATGCTAAAAATATATTATATTAAAATATTATTATTTACAATTAATAAATGCATTAATTAATAGTGATGTAATGATAACTCCATCTAGTTCGTATCGAGAGATTATTTTGTTTAAATATTTTATTTAATTATAAATTTATCTTAATTTTTAATTTTTTTTATAAATATAATTAAAATTTTATAAAAATAAAATAATTATTTATAAAAAAATAAATTATATTTATTTTAAATAAAAAATATTTTAAAATAACGTAATTAAACAGTAATTTAGTAGTTAATATTTATATATTTTATTTAAAAGATAAGAATTTAAACATTATTAAAAATATAAAATTTATCTCATTTTGTTAGTATATTATAAACTGAGAATAATCATCGTATATTACTTTATTTATTGAATGAAAAATTTATTTTATTATTATTTTTATAAAATTATAATTATTATATATTTCATTACGTATTTAATTAAAAATAATATTTAATCGGAGACGTGATAAAAATTTAATATAATTTTTAATTTTTAAATTCAATATATTTTTAATATTGATAGTCATTTTTAATATTAATTATATATATATATTAATCTATAATTTTCTTAAATTAATTGTGGTTGAACAAAGAACTTTTTATTAAAATATTGAAATAGTGCTTCGATTGGTATTTTTAATGCATACTATTCTTTTCTAAAAAAGTATGCGTTCAAGATCTATAATATTTTTAATATTATATAAATAATAAACTATAAAAATAAATTATATGTCAATTTATATTTATATTTTGTACCCCCTATATATTTTTAATATGTTTAATTAGTCACTTGAGTCAATAATGACACGTGGGTGAAAGGGATATTTTTAGAGCTTTTCGTATATGTGTGTATATATATATATATATATATTAAATTAACTTAGTTGGGATGTCACATATAAATAAAACAAAACTATATGATTGAAAAGTATATATTCATACCGATCTCTCAATAATTTGGATTCCCTTAATGTAACATTAAGAATATATATATTAATATATTAATATTATTTTTTTAATAAAAATGTTATATCAAAATTTTAGTTATAAATAATATTATTTTTATAAAAAAAATTTAATTTAATTTAATTTAATTATCGTAATTTTATTATAATTAATTAATTAATTATTATTTTTTTATATTTTTACATTTTAATGACGTACGTTATTATTTCACTGTCACCCACTAGTCTTGTAAATTGACAGCACAAGAGAAATGACAAATGGGTTTTCGTCTCTACACAAGTCCAGATTTCGCATGGAGATGTAAATCATTTAAAGTCTAGTTTAGGAAATTTTGTTTTAAATTAAGAAATTATTTTTAAAATTTTTATTTGAATTTTTTTTTATTTAGAAAATAATTTCGTGAAGATAAAATTGAAATAATAAATATAATTATAAATTATAAACCGAGTTGTAATTTTTTTTTTTGGAGATTATATTAGATTTAATTAATTTTATGAAGTAAGACATAAATGAAGTTTATGTCTCAATATTGGGAAACATATACTTTACTTCAAAGAGAGTATTAATTTTTGAAAATATGGAATTGGGTTTTTTTTTAAAAAAAAATTAAATATTTTTGAAAAAAATAAGAATATTAATTTTCAAAAATATAAAATTGGGATTATTATTATTATTATTTTTTTTTCCAAAAGATATAATCACTTACATCAATGTGAAATCTAATAATACTTAACAAAAATAGAAAAATGTATTATTTAATTATTAAGATATGTATTTAAATAAATTAAATATATAAAATTACAAATCAATATATATATATATATATATATATCTACACGTAGGTTTTACTAGTCAACGCATGATTTCTTCAATTGAAAAAAGGGAAAAGAAAAGAAAATCCTACACGGAATATATACTCTTGGATGCCATTGCTTTTCTATCCATGAAAAGCTAGGTAGGAACTCGATAATGGCGGCCATAAACTGCCCGACGAGCTCTTTACTGGTACTCCCAGCTTTTTTTCTTCTCCCTGTTTTCTTCTTCGTGTTTCAAAGCTCAAACTTCAATCGAAACCCCGTGATCAACCAGTTCTACTCTTCAATCTCTTTCACTCCCGTTAGGCAGAGATTAGAAAATACATACGCAAACAACACAAGCTTGTTGTCAACACAAGTTTTCGTCGCTGGAGTCGTCTCTGCAGAGGGCTCTGGTATCGATAAAAGAAGCGAAAAGAGTAGTAGTAATATCACTGAAGTTTTTGCAGAGAAGATTACTACCCAAGTTGCAGTAAGTATATATATATATATATATATATGTGATGTTGGTTATGTCGGTTCTGGTAATTAATCTGTGTTGTGTGCTAAAATAAGCAGGAGGAGGAGAAGAAGGAGAAGAAGAAGAAGAAGAAGAAGAAGAAGAGTAGTGGGGAAAGAATCGAAGAGGAGTTGATGAAAGCGAGAGGTGCGATCAGGAAGGCGGTTGAGTTGAAAAGATACGAGTCGGAGAAGAAGGAGAGCTTCGTTCCCAGAGGTTCCATTTACAGAAATCCTCATGCTTTTCACCAGTTGAGTTTCTTTTTTCTTTCTTTATGAATTTGCCAAACATGCCCTCTCTGTGCATCGCCAACTTCAGTTTTTCAATTTCATCTTCTTTGAAAAAAAATAAATAAATAAAATTCTTATATTAAATTAACAAATTATAATATTTATTATAATTTAATTTTCAGTATTTTTTATTATAATTTAGTCATTAATATTTTCTGTTTATTTACATTTTATTTTCTAACGTAAAAAGTTAAAATTATTAGAATTAATTTGAATACTTTAAGAAACAGTTCAATAAATAAATTTAACTGATTAATTAAATTGATAATAAAATTAATCTTATTTTTATTAATAATATTATTAATTCAACAGTATCAGAATAAAATTTACCCAATAATTTATGCAAAATTTTAAGATAATTGATTAATTTAATTAATTTTTCGAAAACAAATATCTGGAATCTCCAATTCCAAAAACACCTGTTCATCTTTTGATTATAAAATTCAACTGCTGAGGAAGACGAAAACGACGTCGTCGATGGCTTTCAGGAGCCACATAGAGATGGTGAAGAGATTCAAGGTGTGGGTCTACAGGGAAGGAGAGCAGCCGATCTTCCACGACGGTCCGGTGAACAATATATACTCGATAGAAGGACAGTTCATCGACGAAATGGAGCGGCCGTACAACAAGTTCAGAGCTCCGCATCCAGACAAGGCTCACGTGTTTTTTCTCCCTTTGAGCGTCGCCAAGATCATCCACTTCGTCTACAAACCCATCACCTCCGTCGCCGACTACTCCCGCGACCGGCTCCAGCGGCTGATCGCCGACTACATCTCCGTCGTCGGTGATAAATACCCTTATTGGAACAGAAGCTCCGGCGCCGATCATTTCATGGCTTCTTGTCACGATTGGGTACGTTTTTGATGTTTTTCTTCTTCAAAATTTTAAAATCCTAACTTAAATTATAAAAATTAACGAGCGTTTAAAGTATTTCTGCAGGCACCACAAGTTTCCTTAGCTAATCCAGAACTGTTCAAAAACTTCATCAGGGTTCTTTGCAATGCAAATCTCAGCGAAGGATTCCGACCTCATATCGACGTATCACTCCCGGAAATTTACTTACCAGTTGGAAAACTCGGTCCACCGTCTCTGGGTCTACCTCCAAACAACAGATCTATACTAGCTTTCTTCGCTGGAGCATCGCATGGATGGATAAGAAAAATTTTACTACCTGAATGGAAGGGGAAGGACAATGATGTTCAAGTTTATGAAAAGTTACCCAAGGGCTTAGACTACACGAGACTCATGGGTCGGAGCCGGTTCTGCCTCTGCCCGAGTGGGCACGAGGTGGCGAGTCCCAGAGAGGTGGAAGCCATTTATGCAGGGTGTGTTCCGGTTATAATTTCAGTAAATTATTCGTTGCCGTTTAGTGACATTCTTGATTGGAGCCAGTTTTCGATTGAAATTCCAGTCGAGAAAATATCAGAGATCAAGACGATTTTACAGAGTGTTTCTCGAGAGAGATACTTGAAGATGTACAGGAGAGTGTTAATGGTGAAAAGACATTTTGTACTGAACCGGCCGGCTAAACCGTTTGATGTTGTTCATATGATTCTTCACTCGGTCTGGTTGAGAAGACTCAATTTTAAGCTTTCGAGTATTTGATATAATAATTTACTTGTAAAAAAAAAAAAAAAAGGAAAAAATTTATTTATTTTAAATATATTTATTTCAACAAACTCAAATTTTATTTTTATTTATTAAAAAATAAATTACATAATTATTTAATTTTATTAGACGTAATATTAAAAATATTATTTTCTATCGGGCCTTTCGGAACAACCGGGGGGCCCATGGATTACTCAGCCCAATAAAATTAAAAATATTAGGAGGTAATTTTTTTAAAAAATAATTTATTTTGTGATAATTTAATGACACGATTATATATATATATATATATATATATGTAATTTAGTAACATATATTTATATCTTTGACCTACCACATGCTATTTATCAATACATACACGTTAACAAAATCTTGTGATTATCATGATTTATGTATATATAAGAGATCGAATATAAATTTTTAGAATTATTTTGAAGGGTTGTTTAATTATATAATTTTTTATTTTCTTAGTTGATAATATGTAAATAAATTATTATTTTTTGGTATTTTTTTAAAAGTGAATTTTAAAATTTTACCTATTTTGACACTTATTTATTTATTTAATATATATGGAAAATTACTATAATTATTATTTATTTAAATATTAATATTTATGCATTTATAATTTAGGATCATGGGTAAATCACATATATTAATATGGTGTTGGATTTAATTTTTAGAGAAAAATGTAGCACTAGCAACCCATGATTCAAAGCTTTTGACACTTGGGTTTGATATCATGAATAGAGATAAATATATACGTACATATATTATATAGACATATATACATGCATTTATATAAATGCTAGTTATTGTGTGGGACTTTGTATAATTATACATTGTAAGTAAGTATCGTGTGTGAAGAGGATATTGACGATCATATATTGTCAATAAATATATTAATTAAATATTTTGTTGCCTATATTATTGTCAATAATAATTTTTTGCCTATATATTGCAAAAATATATACCTATATATATATATATTTTTTTATTTTCAAAAAAAAAAACATATATATTTCATTAATTATAGTGAAATATATAAGTTTTTATTTAAAAAATTATGTATTTTTTTTATGCATTAATTTTGTGAGTTCATCAAAATAAATTAAAACTAAATAGTAAAAGAAAACCTACATGTAGTTTCTGAAAAGTAGATATGGTAATTTCATTTTCTGATCGTGAAAATCTTGGCCAATTAACCTGTTTGGGCAACTTCTTAATTGAGGGTATCTTTGTTATGCTTCTTTGAATATAGAGATATATGTAAATATATTCATATATATATATGTATATATGTATATATCTCGTCCCTCTCTTCTTCTCTACCTAACAAGATCATCTACCACAAAGAAAGAAGCAGATAGAAGGAGCTTGAAGATCAGAGCGGCTATGGCGATTTGTGGCTCTTATAATTGTTCTTCACTAGTTTTTCTGTTTACAACCCTAGTTCTTCTTTCCGTTCTCTTCTTCTCCACCCCCAGCTCCTTTGATACTCGTTCGTTTTTCAGATCCCTTATCCCCTTAAACACAAACCAAATCTTCATTAACGATCCTCCTGATCGCATTAATATTTTCTCCGCCAAACCCACCAGAAATCTTATTAGCCATACCAAGGTAAACTTATAAACATCCCCATATATATATATATATGTATTTATCTGTGTGTGTATCTGTGTATTTGTCAGCGTGTAATACTTCGTACATGTCCGGACCGTCCGGTATGTATATATATGTATATACGTGAATCTATATATCTGAGAATCGGCATATGCTTTCTGATACATAGTTGTAACAATAGTTTGAATGGGTTCATATATATGTTATATATATGTACCACATCCGTGTGCTTATGTGTTCGAATATTCTTGTGCTTTCTATTTTGAGAATACTTCATGTGTGTGTGTGTGTGTGTTTGTGTATATATATGGATCCAGAAGATATATATGCATATATATATATATATATTAAGGTGTGTACGTGACACATGCTTCCTCAAACAGTACTTCATATGGGTTCAACACACATGAATATATGGATATATATATATATATATGTATGTATGTTTACCATATTTCATATGGGCTCAAGAACGTAGCTATGCATATATATTTTATGGATGCGTGTATATTTCGTGGATGGCTGTATATATATATATATATATATTACTATAGGCGTTTATGTGTGATTGGATTAGAAGCAGGGTCGGTTGGAGAGAATAGAAGCAGACTTAGGAAGAGCAAGAGCAGCCATTCATAAAGCCATTAAAGCACGAAACTTTACTTCTGATAGAGAAGAGACCTTCGTCCCCAGAGGATCCATTTACAGAAACCCATACGCCTTTCATCAGTACGTATACGTTTTTTCAATTTCATTATTACACAAAATTGATTTTTAACAACATTAATTAATTTGATTATTTAATTTACGTTATATTTATATATATATATATATATTATTCAAAAAATCGTGTAAATTAATTATTTGGTTTAATTGACAAATTTGATTAACACTTGATTAGGAAGTAATTAATTAGAACGATCCGTTCTAATTTTTTTAATTTCCTAATTTGTAGTAGATTTTTTTTCCTTAATTAATTGATTTTCGTGTTATTAGAATCTAAAAATATAAAATTATAATTAATTATTAATATTGGACAGTTTACAAAATAGATTAAAGACTAATTAATAATTATCAATTGCCCTGCACATATTGATAATTTTGACTGGGGATTAAGACTGATATTTTAACTAATTAAATTATAATATTTAAATAATTAGTGTTAGCAACATTTTATATACCGTAATTATAAAAATATACAATTAATTAAATTATTATTTTATATATATATATATATACACACACACACATTGAGTAATATGTATTAGGTTGTGTTTGTTTAAAGTTTATTTTATTATCATTTAATTTTTCTATATTACTTATTTAATGTGTAGAAGTTATTTATAATTAATTTACATATTTAATTCATACCCGAATTAACTTTATTAATTATATTTTCAATTTTATAATAATATATTTAAATTTTCAATTGGAGAGTTAGAAAAAAGGACTTGGATTTAATTTGAATATGAAACTAATTTGAAATTATAATGTTATCGTAATTTAAATTCTTATAATATTTATATTATATTATTATTTAAAATTTATAAAATTTTGAATTTCGACTCAATTTCACTAATATAATCTTTTTTCAGGAGTCATATTGAGATGATAAAGAAATTTAAGATATGGACATACAAGGAGGGAATCGGACCGTTGATTCATAGTGGACCCATGAAAGGGATTTACGGTATTGAGGGACAATTCATCGACGAGATGGAGAATGGAAATAGCAAATTCATGGCTCGTCATCCTGACGAAGCCCATGTTTTCTTTCTCCCTGTTAGTATTGTCTACATTGTTCATTTTATCTATGTGCCTATCACTACCTATGCTCGTGATCGCCTCATGCGCATTTTCAATGACTATGTTTATGTTGTCGCTAAAAAGTACGAGTATTGGAACATTACAAAAGGAGCTGACCATTTTATGCTTTCGTGTCACGATTGGGTAATTCTCTTTACTTCTATTTATAAGTTCATTTTACATATATGCATACAATATATATTGATTCGATTTCCTATTTAATTATGTTTTCGTTTTTTTAAGAAACTTAATTGAGTTGATTTAATTGTTTAAATTTTAGGCTCCTGAAATTAAGCATGGAAATCCAGAGTCATACAAATATATGATACGAGTATTATGTAATGCTAATACTTCTGAAGGGTTTGAACCAATAAGAGATGTAACATTACCAGAAGTGAATGTACCTCCAACAATGCTCAACCCACTAAGTGGAGATCCCGATGAATCACCTAAAAAACGCACCATTCTCGCATTCTTTGCTGGTGGGGCTCATGGCTATGTACGAGCAATCTTGTTTAAGCATTGGAAGGAAAAAGATAATGACGTCCAAGTTTCTGAGTACTTACCAAAGGGTCAAAGTTATAATAAACTAATGGCACATAGTAAGTTTTGTTTGTGCCCGAGCGGATACGAGGTCGCTAGCCCAAGAATTGTGGAGGCAATCCGTGCAGGATGTGTTCCGGTGATTATTTCAGATCATTATGTGTTGCCATTTAGTGATGTTCTAGATTGGAGTGAGTTTTCTGTTCAGATACCGCTTCAGAAGATACCCGAAATTAAAACAATATTGCAAAATATTTCAGATATTGAATATCTGAAACTGCAGAAAAATGTGATGAAAGTACAAAGACATTTTGAACTCAATCGTCCGGCAAAACCCTTTGACATGTTTCACATGTTGTATCATTCTATTTGGCTTAGAAGGCTTAATGTTAAATTATAACATTAAGCAAATTACTAGTTATATAGAACAAATATTTTAGCAATTGTATAATTAATATCCCTCTAATCCAATATATATATATATATATTTTTTTTAAGAGTTTGTAGTTCTATTAAATAAGATTTTATTTCTTTACCATGTGTTTTAAACAATAATTTTTGAGGATTTATGTAATTTTTTTTTAATTTTGGAATTTGACCAATATTAACATTCTTTAAATCAAAACTATAATGATATATTTAAAATTATATCAAATTGGAAAGGGTAATTTTCTTTTAAAAAATAATACTTGAATAATTAAAAAGATTCGGAGTTGGGTCGGGTCAAAATGGCCCGACAGCCAGTAATTTAATGCCTATTTGCTAAGGGCCCAAGGCCCTTCACCATGCACATGCTGTCACCTCCCTCATTGGAAGCGACGCCAAGCAGGGACGAAGAGAGAGTATCATCAAACTCGAAGACCTCATTGACTGATTTTGTTTTTTCACAGTGCGAGCCCCAAGCACGCGACAATGGCCGACAAGGGCACAGAGGAGGCATCCATGGAACGCCACGCGCCCAAGCAGTCTTCTATTCCTTCCGGCGAGAACTCTGTATGGGCTGACGTTTCGCCTCTCCTCGCTGCCGCTTGCAAAGGTTCAGTCTCTGAAATTTTCTCTATCTACATATATTTTTTCCAAATTCAAATTATGATTGCTATTAGATTCGATCATATTTGGCAACTGTAAAAATTCGAACGGAAAAACAGAGGAAGTAAGAAATTCTGAATATTTTTTGTTTACTACTTTCTTTGAGTAAGGTAACTAGTGTTGTTATACTCGTGTCAGGAGATTTGTAATTTTCTCGCATTTGGTTGATTCTTTGTGTTTGCACGTATTATTTATAAGGAAGAGGGTTTTGTTGTCCTTGGTTTAAGGAGGATCTGCGGGTTATGGCTTTAAGTGACTGGTATATTGATCCTAGTTATTGGTATCTACTGTTATTGGGATGAGTAGGTCAAAAATTAAGAACTCGATACTACTCTAATTAGTTTGGGTTCTTGATAGTCTATCTATTTTAAGTAAACTCTATTGCACACTCTTATCTCCCTAGTTAAGACATGTTTCCCCCTCATTTCACTATTTTGGAATTGTTAATGTCCACACTCACATGCAAATTAGCTTTCTTTACTGGCAGGAAGGATTTTGTGAAGTTGTTTCATCCTCTTTTTCGTCTGTATAATGTACATATCATTCTTCAGTTGATTGTCTTGCATTCTCATTCATCTCTGACATTTTGCATGCAAGTTATAGTTTTGTGCAACTTTTATTTTCTTAAAGCTTTAGTGAATTAGAGGCTGGTATAGCATGCTTCATTCGTATTGATTATTCTCCCTTAACATTTTACATTATTGATAAATACATTGCAGATCTTCGAGATGGTGAACTCATTCACGGAGATAACTTTAATCTTTTTGCTGCTATGTCTGCTTTAGAGGTTTGTATTTTTAATTATAATTGTCTTATTAAAATTTTTGTTCCTGCAAATAATAGTCCAGGATCTTTCCTAACAATGTAATCTTTTAGGATGATTAATCACCTAACCAATTATTTAACTCCAACCACAGTAGCCGTTGCTATCTTTTCCTCTTATTCACTAGCTTGATGTCTATGATTGGTTTCTGTCAAAGCACCTGTTTTATAGTATAAAAATAGGTCTTTCATGCAGAGTCATCCATTCTATGTTTAATTAGCATGAAGAGGGGCCATTTTGTGTAACATTATGATTTATATGTAATTGGTTATGCAATCGATTATTACTATGGTGAGCACATAATGTCGGTCCAAATTCTGATCCCTTTTTGTTTTTGTTTTAAATATAACAGTAACTAATATATTAAAGAAAATAAGGTACCAAGGGGATACCACCCCTTTGCAAAATGTTTACAAGTTTGTCAATGTGTCTACTATATACCCAAAATCTTCCTCCCTATATAAGTCATGCCCCAAAACACGATGCCTAAGATAATGAAACCACCTATGGTTTAGTTTATGAATATCATTTTGTGTACCCTCAAAAGCCCTGCTATTTTTCTCTTTCCAAATCACCCAAAACAGCATCAAAGTAGTAGTTCTAGAAATTTTTTGTTGTTTACATAAGTTGCCCCAAGCCTAAATATCCTCCTTAACAGACCCTGCAATCACCAAGAGATCCCGATTAAACTATACACCATAGACCACAACCTGTTATCTCAAAAAAAAAAGAACCATAGACCACAAGCTGTAAGTCTCTGGGCACCAAAGAAGTAGATGACTACATGATTCCGCAGCCTGTTTGCATAGGTAGCATCTGTTAACCCCAATAATACCTCTTCTCATCAGCTTATCCATGGTTCCCAAGCAAAGAAAGCAATTCTAGGTGGAACTTTTGTTTTCCATACATTCTTGGCTGGGAAATTTTGTCTCCTACTCTCTCCTCTGTGTCAAGAATTTGTAAAGTGATTTCACTGTGAAGAAACCATTTCTATTCAACTTCCACACCAGCTGATCACCACTCTGATTCAGATGAACGTTAGCAAGCCGATTTAATAGATTCTCATAATTTGGTTTTTTTATGCTTTAATTTGTTTTTAACTTGTGTATTTATTTAGTTTGTATTTTATATGCTAAACATGTTATCTCGCTCATAAACAAGGATTAGCTTAGAATATAAATAATAAAGTTGGGCCATCTTCTTTTGTCAAAATAAAAGTTGGCTTTTTTTCTATTAATGTAAGTTGTGAGGTTATCAGTCACTCAACAAATTAGTTAACACTTTCTTCCTTTCAAGGTAGGAAATTGTGACCCCCTCCTCCATCCTGTAGTTTCTTTTAATTGGTGCGTGCTTAGTCTTTTGCATTTCTGACACACTTCATTTTTAAGGGGGTTAAATCCAAATTTCAACATTTGTTGTTTTGGTAGAAAAAACAGTTTGTTCTGTCTACATATGCATACGTGTACAATGCAGGTATACTCGATCTTCTTGTCTTTCCTTTTTCCTTGAGGAACAACTGGTAAAGGCCTTGAATGTGAATGCAGTGTTATAGGAGTTTTGTGCTGCATTAATCTCTTTAAATTTATGATGACTAGATGTTTCTTTAACTACACTTAAGGAGTTTTTCTTTTTGTTTACTTCTTACAGATTATGGACCCAAAAATGGATTCAGGTATTGTTTGTAGATATTACTCTGTTGATGAAGCCGTTGAAAATGGTACTGCTCCAGTTCCTGTAAACTCTGATCGAACTGTTGATGTTCAATGTGTTATTGACATCATGGATCATCTTCTTGCTTGTGAGGTACTTATAATTTTTGTATGATAATCATTCAGTAAGACTTTAGATTTTACTTCTTTTCCTCACCCAACAAAAGTTGATAAGTTTATACCTTTTTGTTGAGACAAGATGGTAGCTTTAAATTGCATAGATATCTTGTTACACATGCATATATTCGTTTATGGGTGTGTATATTGGGGGGCTTTGTTGCTGCTGAATTGTTGGCGAGAGTCTCAGCTTGTAAGAGCCAGAATAAATGTTTCTGTCTCATCCCTTTAACCATCACTTCAGGTCATTCAGAGAGAACGAAAATAAAGAGCTTTTGATGGAAATTGCTCTCCTTGAAACAGGATTTGAGATTTATGGTTCTAGGTCTTCCCTTTTTTGTTGAAGGGTCATCCTCTCCAATGAGGAGGATATGGTGGAGCTTAGAAATACAAACATCTAGTTCTCTGTATTTGGGTGGCACCACATTGTACCTTGTGAATGCAGTCTGTTTTTCTTTTAAAAAGCTTATGGGTGCCTTGTTATGTTCCATCATCGATGGAATAGGTTGTGGCAATTTATTGTGTGCCCGTGCCACAACTATGATCAAGTTTGTTTGCATCTAAAATTTAGTATCTCATGGCAGGCAACATGGCACAAGGGTCATTCACTGGCACAAACTGTGTTTTCGTGCATTTATCTTCTGAGGCCTGATAGGACATCTTCACATGCCCTATTGCATTCTTTATGCAGAGTCATGCGTGCGACGTGCAAGGCAGTTGTTTCGGTTGTTTCAGATGCACGTACACATGAAGTAAAGTATTCCAACAGCTCTTTCACCTTTATTTTTTATAGGAACAAATTCAAGGTTTACCTTTCCCTTTTTGATAAATATTTCCTAAATTCATATTGAATCTGAACATGGATCTACTTTTTTAGATTGCAAAGGTTTCATCGCAGAAATAGAGAAATCCTTTGATATGGTTCCCATATTAAATCAATAATTTGAAGGGATGTAGCACTTTTTACTTGTTTTTTGTCACATTCACTTTGTCAAAAGGTCCCTTTTTAAGTATGCTCTTTGTGGGTTAAAGAACACAGGTTTTTGCAAATGGTGGCTGTTGTATAACTATCCTCTCCTATTGTATTCTCTTCCTGTCTTCTTGTAATTCCTTAAGATTCTTTGGATAGAAAAAGAAACACTATTGAAGAAGAGAAAACAGTATAAGAGAGAGGCTAAGATCTCCTGAAAAGAGAAGATAAAAAAAAGAACAATGGAAAGGAGGACTCCAAGACCTGTAAATATTTTTGTACATAGGCGGTACCCCTGGGTTTTGGTACCATATTAATACATACATTACACTTTTTATCTAAAGAAAAAAAAGGCAGACTCCAAGACCTATATGACCTAGACCAAAGCAAATTTGAATAACAAGCATTTATAACTCCAACTAGCAAAAACTCCCTAAGCACTCTCTTTTTTCCCAATGACAATTAGTGTTTTGCCCACCTATTTTGTTAATTTGCCCAAGCAAATGACAATTATATCTCTGTTAAAAATATGGAAAAAAAATAGTTAGGATAAACTAGAGACTAACAGTAAAAAATAAATGTTCTTTGTTTTCTCATGTTCTTTTATTCTCTCTTTGTCTTCTCTTCTATTGCTTTTTCATGGTTGTTCTAGATGTGAAATCTTCTGCCTGCAATCGACATTTTTATTTTGAGTAAAAGTAGGGATGTAGCTTTGATCATGTTTATATTGTTGACAGGAAGAGGATCTTTTCACAATGACCTATGGTCTTCCTTTGAATGGGGATGGCGATGACAAGTGCTTAACAATGTTAAATGCTGTTGAAGAAACACTTTGTCGTAAATTGCATGCTTCCAGGGCCCCATCATCTAAAAGCAGGGTAGTAGAAGGTAGTTATTCCAGTTGCTCAAATTTATTAGTTTTCCATCTTGTTCTCCGTATTGTACTATCTGAAGGATTTGGCGGAGCTGTCTGGATTGGGTAATAATGTAAGTTGTTTAACAAACTAAATGGGGCCAAACTAGGACCTATTAATCAGTATAGAAAAGGTATTAGTGTACTTCATTGACTGAGAAGCCTCTGAATCTCAAGTGTTGATGTTCTCTGGCTTATTCTTCATATTGTAAGACCAGAAAGGATTTAGCTGATTTGTCTAGGTGTACAACTCTGCAAGATTTAGTTTGTCTTGATGACCTAAGAAAGGCGAGGATAGGACGCATTTTATCTGTATCCCGGAGGTATTAGTTTCTTCATTATTGAGGTCTCTGAATCTTGAGCATCAATAGCTTCTGGCAAGAGCATAATCTTCCTGAGAAAAAGACGTTAATCAAACATTGGGGTCAGAGTGATTAGAGGCTGTCTCTTGGTTTGAACTTATCAGCAGTTTGGTCAGGAGTCTGATTCTTTTATCTTCAGGGAGATAACTATATTAAAATTATTCTCGAGTTCTTGATCTGGTTATGCAAATATAAAGTATGATATCTTAGGATTATACGCAATGATTGAGACCTATATTTATAGCACCAGGGTAAACCAAAAGTTTCCACTTATGCCACTTGGGATTATTGATAAAATTGTGGATTTAGTCCCACCTTTTTTTACAATTTAGCATTTGTCTTTGACTGTGAGCCTTGTTGGACAATTGGCATTTAGAAACGGCATCTTGTTTTTTTCTTTGGATTATTACATTATGCTTGCTTGCAAACCAACTGTGTCAAAAGTTTATACATAATGTAATACCTTTTTATGCAGATATAGAGCCATTACAACCCAATTCGGAGTTGGAAGAAGGTTATTGCAAAGCATTGTTGTGCCGCTTACGCTTTCGTAAGGTCTTATCCCACATTATTATTATTATTTTGAAATACTTATCCCACATTATTGCCTTATCATACAGTCTTCTGCCGGAACACTTGTCTACGACTTTTACCATTTCTATGATGTCCTGTAAATATCTCCTTTCTGTCACTGTAGTTTGAGTAAGGTTTTAACTTCAGCTTCTTACACACATGGTTTGTGAATTTTTCAATGAGGTACCATTTGGGAATATCCAGCGGTGGTGGCTTATTTTCAATGTGGAAAAGTGTCGTGATAGATTTATGCCGTCTCTGAAATTTTAAATTAAAATGCGAAGCTAATAGAACAATTGGGCAGATAAAAATTTCAAAGAAACTAGTGCTGAATCGAGTTAAAGTATTTATTGACCTCTAAACTTTTGCTGACATCATTGCATCATTTGAGTCCTCATGAGATTAAGAACCCTGACGTCGAAACTTCTATTACCTTATTCTTTCAACAACTTCCAAACTTTCTTGAGGTGTTTATATTTTCTCTGCAGCAGTTCACTGAAAAATTTGTTTCTTTCTGTTTCATTTTCTCAGTTTGTTTGGTAATATTTTTGGTAATGCTATAGCCATAGTTCTATAAGCTGCTATTGGTTAGTGATAGAATCTCACATCTCACTCCCCTCGAGCTTTAGGTGAGGAGGAGCACCATCAGAGGCAACAGAATTCAGTGTAAAACATAGGAACTTCATTTCGCCTTCTCCTCGAGTGTATCTGGTTATTTATTACGATGTTCTTATTTGCTTGTATCAAACCTGTTCCATGTTATAAGCCATAATTAGTATTATTGGTTGCTCGGCCAGAATGTTTACTGACCTCCTTTTTTCTTTTTTTTTTTCAGCATTTTCTTCATGTTCTTACATGTATGAGACGGCCTCAAGGAAGAGGTCTGGAGTTAGCAAGAAAACACATAGCTTCCTGTCTATCAGAGCTTGAGTCCATTCTTAAATCAGCAGAATTCCTCAGGTCCAGCGGTTCTGGAACTTGTGAAGATGGTATTGAAGAAGCCACAACTGCATCTGGCCGTGAACCAGTTGGTTTCGATCCTACTTTAAATAATAGACTATCTGCCCCTACTCCTCCACGTGCTATTAAAATCATAAGTTGGAAGAAGGTGAAAATGTTTTGAAATTAGTTTCCTGTATGTGGTGATTCAATTTTAGTGTTATGACACACCGTGTCTGCTTTGACAGGCTATTGAATATTTTGAGAAACTTCTTCACGATCTAGATGTCATATGTTCATTCTCACTCGATCCGTTTTTAGAAGATGTCTTGCGCTTTGTGGTTCAGTTCCAAAAGTCTCAACCTGATTTGGTTGCAAGAGCTCATCTCCAGGTTATATTTCACCTGCTGTCTTTATCCCATTTGTATTTTAGGATAGCTGCTAATTTTTTTTTGTTTCTTGTGCACTTTTCTTTATTGATTCTTCATTTCCTATTCATGCTACGGGATTTGCAATATTCTGCCAAGAAAAATATTCACTCTGATGCTTCAGCACACATTTTATTTTGTTTTATCTTGTTATTGATGCCCATGGAAAGCGATGAAAACATTAGATATTTCTCAGAATATTTTAGCAGCATTCTTTGTTCCTTGAAGTCTCACTAAAATTGCTTGTCGTTCTGCAGCTCTGTTCCTGTTTAGGAATACTTTTCAAAATCTAAATTGCTTATCCAATCTTCTACAAATCGGGCCAATTCTAGGAAATAAAAGTTGGATGCGTACTACCCTTTTTCGACTGCAATGATTCATATATCCAAGTTCATTCCAATAATAAAATAAAAAAAAATCTAAAATTTAGGAAAAAAGAAAAGCCAAAAAATCTATTTGATGCTCGTACAAAGACCTGAACATTCTAGCATCGCAGGAATTGTTATCATGCTAACCACTAAAGGTTATTATTTCAATTGAGTGCCAAGACACATTTTAATGTGGTCATATCAAATCATTACAATTGTTTTTGGACTAGTGATGATGTAGAGGTTAGAGTGCAGTATATAATAGGGCACAGGACTAGAGTTTCATTTTTTTATTCATTGACTATGTACCAATTCTTGGGTTTACTGGCTAAAAGACAGCACTTTGGATTCAGTTGCACCACTACAAATTTGTGTTTCATAATTGAGGTGGTAACATGAGGCATAATGTGGGATCATACGGTCTTTGTATTCTCAAGCATTTTTTATCCATTTCTTTTCTTATCTATGCTTCTATTGTCTTCTATTATCAAACTGGATTTCAACCCTCGAACATGTATGAACAGCAACTGCTAGTGCAAGGTGGGAAGCTCTATGGGAGGGATCCCCTTTTTTCCGTGATTACTAAAGCTGCAATGTTGCCCGATATCACAAAGGGCCACGATATTCAAAAAAATGAATCTGTTGTGCAACTAGGACAGGTGAAGACGTCTACCCTCCTTTCTTCTGTAAGCTTTTAGTTTATTTGAGATTTATTTTTCATTTATAAGATTCCTTGTCTATTTCATCATATAAGAGAGATGCTTGGGTTAGATTGTTTTGGAAAAATGGGGCTCAGCAGATGGAAGGAAGTTTAAGAATCAAATTTCAATTTTTTGTCTCTCCCACTTCATCACACCCAGATTTTGAAGCGTGTCATAAAGTGGGAGAAACAACTTTTAGTATCTTTCTGGCTTATTGCAAGGGAGGTCATCTAACATGTAACACATTGGGCAATGCAGTTGGTGATCAATTTGCTTAAAATACTTTGTACAAATTCTGCATGGCAGAGGCGTAAGTTGGGGAAAATATTACAAGATTGGCGTGTGATCCACATGCAGGTCTATTTCATATTTGAATTCCAGATTCCTTCAAAATTATTTTATTTTTTTTCATCTTGTAAACTTGTAAAAAACCATTATTGCTTTCTTTTATCTTTCAACTGCATTTGAACTTAAAATGTCATCCGTTTCTTTATCCTTTGGTACCTATAATCTGGACAACTAATAGTAAAACTCCTACAGCCTCTCAAAGTGGGATTTGATATCAAATCCTTAGTACCTGATTGAAGGTTGTGCCACTATGGCTAACTTGCCTTTTCTTCCCCACTGTGACCTGATTCCATTTTTTAGAGAACATCTTATTTTCCCTTGGATCTACTTTAGTTTTTCTTCTTTTTTAGAGGAAACAAAATTATATGTGACATCTATTAGATCATAATATTGAATTTGTGCGGTATATGTTTTTCAACAGATAGAACTTGCTTTCAGAACTGAGTTTGGAGATGACTTGGACATTTCAAATAATGAGGTATTTATTTCTCCTCTGGATGAGTATTATATTGCACCTATTAAATCGCTGAGTATATCAAGGGGCAACTCGTCAGCTTATGTTGTGTTCCTAATTGGCAAGTGGCAAACAATCTAATAACTTCAGCATCAAGTACTTTAAACATTAACATCCAGAACTTTTGAAGGCAAAACTAGATTGTAAATGCTAAAAATGAGAATGGCAGGGTGAATTCGTATCTAATTGTTTTTTTATGGAAACTTACTGAGTTTCTCTCTTTGCCTTTCAAGTCTTTTGAGAATGACCTAATACATGGAAGCTTGGGATGATCTTTAACCATTATGATAGGATATCTTTTTCATGGAAGCTTGTTTCTTTGTCTTTGTTCTCAAGTATCTTGGCAATTTCCTGATGGGCTCCAGATGGAAGCAAGACATGATTTTTTTACACACTTATAATCAAGAGATACTTGTTAAAGGATACTCCAGTCTGATGCCAAATTAATGTCACATCTTCTTGGCATTAAGATTATATGATGAATGCAACATTGGAAATTTTCATCAATATGCTGTTTATTTCCTTTTCGGTTTTGGCTTCGAAAACATGAATTTTAGTTTATAATAAATAGAATTTTGAACCTCCTCTTGGGAGGAAAGTGATAGATACACATCGCTGGATGCATTCTTCTGTTATATATTTTGTTTTGACATTCAAATGAAGAAAGTCTTTTATTTTCCAATGAAGATTTATATATTAACTAAAATCTTTTTTGGAGGAACGACTATTTTTTTTTTTTTAAGCATTAGTTTCACCATATGTTGCAAATCTGGGGGAAATTTTGCTTAAAAAAGGTTGGAAGGAGAGAGCTTCTGGCATAATATGTTATCCATAGTTTCTTAAAAAAAATGGTTGCAGGCTTTGTGATTTTCATTGTTTCTGCTAAACTTGATAGTATGTTTAGTATGTATATCATGCCATCTAATTCGTGCATGAACTGGACATCGTTTCTTAATCCTCTATATTCCCCTTTAGTTGGATCATAAAATTATAGAAAGTGGATCATCCTATAATGAGTATGAGTTATTCATCTGTGTACCCTAAGATATACCTGCTTTTTGATAAATTGTGAAAATTTTCCCATTTGCTTAGTATCATCAAAATATGATTCATTAGTCAATAAAATCTATATTTGACCAGGATATGATGGTTTTGGCAGAACATATCAAAGAAGATATTCAAACACATTCTCAATTGGATAGAGGAGCAAACATACTGGATAGCTTCTCGTTTTCTGATGTTGGGTTTTGAGTTGGAGCTCTACTCTCCCAGTGAATATTGCATGGTATACTGGTATCTGTACGTTGTCTTTGTCAGGCTTGCTGAGAAAACACATGTTAAGATGGCTATGAGCAATGCCACTGGTAAATATGCTACTTTTTTATTTCTCATTTATCTTCAATATTTTTTTTTTGAAAATTAAAGGTAAACTATATTCAAGAGCACCAAGGAAGTATAACTTATATATAAAATATATCAAAATATCTATTAGATTCCGATAATTCTTGCTAGAATAAAGCGGATGATCTCTGATAAAACAACTTAAAATCTGTAACTAAGGATCCTTAAATCTATTAAACTTAGATTCCTTGCCCTTGAAAATTCTTCTATTCTCTACTCTGATAACCCAAAGGGTAGCCAGAGGAGTAAGTCTTAATCTCTTATCCTGGTGGAGTCCTCTCCAAGCACAAAGCTCTTCTTTTACTGATCTAGCAATAATCCAACTCAATCCCATAAACCATGAGCCAAATTCCACAACCGGTGCACGAACAGAGATCACAAGAAATCTGTTAGATTCTGTTAAGTATCTTTTTGAGATATATTTTTAATATCTGTTAAATTCTGAGGCAAGGATGGTATTACTAGTGCGTGGTTGCTGCCATCGCTTGCAGCCATAGGGTATGGAAATTTAATTTATTAAAATTTGAATTAATGGAGTCTCTGTTCGTCTGCTTTATTTCTCTAGGTTAGGAATCGAACACATTGTTCTGAGACTTGAAACACCTTTCTGATGTTGCATAATGATCATTTGATCATGGCGTCTTCAGATAAAGGGATCATATCCTTTGTTCGATTCCTCTGTATATGCCAATGATGAAATATCTTCTGTCCCATATGTGATATTACAAGAATTAGAAATACTTTATCATGCTTATTTTTTGAAATAGATTTCATTGAATTTATTCCGTTGATCAGCTAAACGGAAGGGGAAGAAGAAAAGGGACTTTCCAAGGGATATGGTGCAGGAATCTCCGATACCACCAGCAGTGTTGTTCCTTCAGTGCCATATATGTCTCGCTGAAGGACTTACAGTGGTAATTGACCGTTGGCTATTATGCTTGTCTCTATTTTTACCTAATCATGGATTATTACATTTAGGAATACTACAAAATGTGATTGTGATGGCTTCTGTTTTGCACACTGGTTGCACTTTTCTTTAATTTGAACTGCAATTGACGGGTTTCCGGATGAAGTTTTTCCTGGTTAATACTGACTTGGGAATCCGTGCTCTATTCATTGGTCCATTCTCTTTCCAGATGCTTGCTACATTGAGGAATGAGCAGATGCTATTAAACAGTCCAAGCCCTTTTAATACGGAACATGAGGTAAACAAATCTTCTCGGTGTTTTGGTATGTTGTGGATCAGTTATTTGGTTCACCATTTCACTTCAGTTTAAGTTACTGATAGAATTCATTGAATGAGCTGAGGTGTAGTAATTGGAAATTCATCATCTGGGCTTTTCTTACCACATGTTTTTGTAGCTATATTTGCATCAACTGCATGATTATGGATTTATTCTTACCATTTTTAACATGTTCTCCGATTACAGAAATTCATTCAGCATTTTGAGCTTTTACAGAAGGCTTGTATTCCAGACCACTTTTCATATCCTTCATTCAAGGAATCCACATCTTACACTTCCTTTTCCGTGAGTATTACATGCATGCATTAAGTTCATCTTTTTTGTTCTTTTAGAAGCCATGTACTGGATTCGTAATCCTTCCCGAGGTCATATTTAAGTGATTTTCACTTTTTATATCCAGACTCTAGTTATGTATAACTACTTCAAGGATGCTCAAAGGATTGTAAAGGAGATTAAGAGTAGTTTTTCCAATGACCCAGACAGATTAGCTGAACTGCGACGGTTAGAGCAAGTTGCGGAGCACAATGCTGTGGCTCTAAACCTTATTTGCCGGGTAGGAGCACTTGATCCATCACTAAAGGTTTCTCTTGAGTTCAGTTACCATCCTTATTTTGCTACAATCATTGTTAAAAGATCTTGAATGCTTCTTCTCAATTTTGAGACTCTCATAGGTTTCAGAAGCATTTATGTCATTCAGTATAGCACCTGTAATATAAAAATCTTCTCAATTTTTTATTGTTACACACATATTGTAATGCAATAAGATGTTTTTAAGGGGGGGGGGGAAAGGAAAGAAAGTTCTCTTCTTATATAAAACTTATTGCTAGTTTTTTCAGAAAACTTCTGTTATAAATCTTATAAGCAGTTTAACCTAACTATATATATATATATATATCTTTGAAACTGAGTTTTGTCTTCACTTCCTCTGTAGTTTCTTTTCTTCTTCCTTCTAATTCTGTATCACATTCAAATTTCGAATCTCGTACTTGATCAGTGAAGTACAGCCTGCAATGACACCTCATAGGCAATTCTGTGTTCCTTAAAGAGCAAACATGCTTTCAATGTATGGAGGAATTTCAATTTTTTTTTTTTATATAATCTTTAATATTACTTTAATTATATTATTCTATATTAATTCATTAGTAATATAAAATTACTCAGACAATATTATATAGTTGTTGTATGATATTGTTGAATTACTGTAATGTTAATGGACACTGTTAGACTAATTTTTGGAATAATTTTAGAAATTGGGATGGAATTTATTTTTAAGTTTACACTTAATTTAATTATAAGTGGATGAAATTTATACTAAAATGATATATATATATATAATTATATTGAGAATATGGAATAGTGTGTTATAAAGTTCATCAAATTTATTAGCAATGGTTGTTTAGTAGTTAAAATTTTTATATTTTATTTAAAAAAAAAAGTCATGAATTTAAATTTATTAAGAACTTATAGTTTATTACTTAGTATATTATGGATTAGAAGTAGTCGATTTATAATATTTGATTTAATAAAACTAATATCTTAATTTATTAATATATTAATAAGATTGCAGTAGTTAAATTTAAATTAAATTTTAGTAAAATTTATTATTTATAAAAAAAAATGAATATTCTCTTACTACCGATTTTTTTTAGTTGAAATAATTATAATTGTTTAAAAATTTAATTTAATTTTTTATAAAAAAAATTTAGTATCCTTAATCACAACATGTATCTATAGACTTTCATGTTTACCACACGATTCAATATATGTATGTGTATATATATTTTCAGTACAAATGAAAATGGGTCTCCTCCAAGTTTGACTTTGACCTAAAAATGACAAAACTTACAACTCCCACTAAAATCACCCACCAAATATTCTCTCTATAATAATGACAATATTTTAAGGTTATATAATTTTTATTCATCTAAAATTTTAAGTACTTTGATTTTTTTTTTGGGTTATTTTAATTCACTTTTTTAACGAGTTATTACCTTTTAATTTTTAAATTTCTCCAAATTTAAATATATATATATATATATACCAACTTGAGTTAGCTAGAACCCACCACATTTTATTTGCTGATATATACATATAGGACTATATATACATACACTAGTTGGGTGAGTGGTCCTGGCAGTTCCCATCGAGAGAGTTGTGGGATTTAATCTGATGACTGTTAGTAATATATATATACACACACACACACATAATAGTGTGTGTGTGTGTGTATATATATATATAGAATTATTAGATTTATTTTCAATTTCCACGTGTCAATCATTTTAGTACGACCAAAGTGGGCCCCACCCCCGCCACCTCATTTTAAAGTACCACCGCCACAAGGACAATTTGGTAATTTCTCATAGTAAATTTGACCTTTTTTTTTTAATTTTTATTTTAATTCGACAGGAATTAATCAAATCTTATTCCGGTTATGTCTAAAGATAAGTTAATATTATTTAATTAAATATAAATATAAATATATAATAATTTAAGAATTTAATTATGCAAAAATTATAATTCACTTATTAATTATAATATAATATATATTATAATTAAATATTATTGTTGGGTGACCAAGTTTCGCTTTCTTTTCTTGCTACGAGACAATAATCGATCACCGGATTCTATATGGACTTAAAAGCTAATTGTTCATTGCAACAGAGACGATCCTCTACGTTGCTCATCGTAGATCCCATCATAACCTCCGCCGTCCGATCAACATACTTATCATTACACGATTTGGTCATCCTTGAAATTACTTATTTATAATCTATAGATTATAACTTCATATAGCATGTTTAAAAAAAAAATTTATCCAGCAAATTTGGAGTTTGATTTCAATTTTAAGTAACTTCAAATTAAATTTATAAAATTTATTTAGAATTTAATTTTAAAATCAATTTTTTTAAAAACATATTTTTTTTCTTTTATAAATTACCCGTGAGTAATGGAAGTTGAATTATTAACGCGAGATGAATTAAAAAAAAAACGAGAGTTTAAATAATAAAATGGTTAAAAAATATAAATTTTATATAAATATAAAATATTTTATTAATAAAGTGAAAAATTTATTAATATAAATTTTAATTTATTAAAAATATTATCTATGTTATATAGATATTATCGAATAATATTTATTATTAATTAATATATTTTTAAAATTTTTATTAATTTATATATTTTTTTTCTTTACTAATTTTTATAATTAAATGTGGATCACACTTTTATAAATTAAGCTTGTGCTTCACATTTTATTTAGTCTAAAGTAAACATATGTACAAACAACTAAGAATGACCTGGCAGCATTTATTGACAGGTGGCATGAACTGGATGGTACGAGCGACTGTAGGTAATTATTGCCCATTTTCGTATTTATTTATTTTTGTAATGGAAGTTCATACATGCTGTACTCTGACAGAAAACAGATTAGAGAAAATTCAGCGAAGGGAATAAATATTTTATAAAAATAAAATCACAGTCCGAAAATTAAAAAAAAATATAAAATAAAATAAATATTTTTCAGAACGCCGACGCCACCCAAAAAAAAAAAAAAAAAAAAGACGACCGAGCTTTTTTAAACTCGTATTTGCTCAAGACTTTTCATTTGGTCGCACACCAGACCATACCAGCGTCATCTCCCCCTCTCTATTCGATTCAGCTTCTCTGGTAAATTCAATCTCTCTCCTGATCTATCTCGGGTTTTTTTTTTTTTTTAATGATTACGCGTTTTTCTGCATGTTTTGATATTAAAAATGAGTGTGTGTGTGTGTGTGATTTTTTTTTTTGTCTGGATATTACGGGAGATTAATTCTAGCGTTGTGGAGGTTCTGGCTTCTCCATGGTTAGATCTTTTGGAATAAAGAAGAAGGTTGTTCAATTTTCTTTCCTCCATCGCGGCAATGGTCTAATTTCGTCGTTTTTTGGTTATTGTTGATAGAAATGGTCATTTCTTGTTGTTTATTTTTTCTCTTGTTTCGTTATGTTTTTTTTTTTTTTGGATTTTTCTTCGTTATTAAATATGATTTGATATTTCTATGGCTGGTTTTTCTTTTGAATCGAATGAGGTATTTGGGTTCAAATTGTTGAGGTTTGTAGTTTTGGTATTGAAGGAGTTCGTTTTATATTAATTCTCTTCTCTACTGCAACGTTATTTGGTGAGAATTATTGGAGTTGGCATCTGAGTTTTGATGGGGGAAAAGATGTTCCTGATTTATTTCATTTGAATTAGATCTTAGATTAGTTTGATTTGAACTCCAAATTTTAAGCTCGAGGTCGTGGGGTTTTGTGGGGATTTATGATATTATGATTTTGCATGAACCTTTAATTTTGAAGGCCAAATTTGTATTAGTATTGCATAGCTTGTTGAGAGAAGAGAAATTGTTCGAGGAAATTAAAGACATTATTACTGGCTATGTTGCAGAACTCTGTGATTGAGAGGGAGAGAGAATGTCAGGTGGAGGCACACAGAATAGCTTGAGGAAAGCATTGGGAGCTATCAAGGATACAACTACTGTTTCATTGGCTAAAGTCAATAGCGATTATAAGGTATAGCTAGTTTTATAATTCTCTTGATGGGTATTCAAAAGTTTGATGTATAAGATATATTATCTGTTGGGCACTCAAAACTTGCAGGAATTGGACATTGCCATAGTGAAGGCAACTAATCATGTTGAACGCCCTGCGAAGGAGAAACACATTAGAGGTGGGTGCTCACTTTTCCTCACCAACTCAACTAATATTTGTGGCAACAGCTCAAAGAATATGTTTTCTACAGTTTATTTCTAAGATCTCTGCTTGATGTGCAAGCAGCTGTTGATGAAGTCTTAAATTATGTGTACTCTTTGCAGCTATTTTTTCTGCCATTTCAGCTACAAGGCCTCGTGCTGATGTTGCATATAGCATCCATGCTCTTGCAAGACGGTTATCAAGGACCCATAATTGGGCAGTATGTGCATCAAACAAATAATTTTTTTCTTCTTTTTTCCTTTACTCTATCTAGCAGGTTAGACAATACTATGCAAATTACAGACTAAACAGAATTTACTTTGAGAAATGAAATATGTTGATTTGATATTTAGGAACCTGTAAATTATTTTTTCTGCGTCATAAGGGCTTGGTTGGGTATATGTACAAGGGGAAAATATTTATTTGTAGTTCCACTAACCATTTTTTGAGTTGTGTGGAAAGAATGAAATGCTAGAACTTTTGAGAATATCAAAAATGATTTTCTAATAGTTAGAAATAGATGGATTAACACGTTTGGCTCTATTTTGTTGGGTCATGACGTGAGAGACTTACATGAGATTGGGATGGTTATTGATCACTTGATAAATATGTGATTATTTTGTATACGGGTGGTACCCCTTTGGTACCTTATCTATAATAACATACTTTTATTTAAAAAAAAAATAAAAAATTGAGGGATGGCAAATGCATAGGTGGGGATGAGTCTTTTGTAACCATATCTTTTGCTTCTATCATATGAATGCCAATGCAAAAAAGTAGGTTATGTGCTGATAGTTATTATCTTTACGATTACCAGGAAAGAATTCTATATCTCAACGGGTATGTTTAAAATGATATGATCTTGAAGGCTAAACATAGGCTAATAAAACATAATAGCTTTTATGTTTTTTCTCCATAAAAAAATATTTTTTTCTAACGGAAAAAAAAGCATTGAAATCCAAAGAGTGATTGAGCTGTACGCTGTCGCAGTTATCTCTTATGCCTTAGTACATTCTGCATTTGATAACTTGTGCTCCTTGCCTTTGAACTATTCTCCAATGAAAAGAAATATAAGTAAATAAGCTAGAAACAGAAAAAAAACTTGGATGAATAAAAATTATGCATATATTGTATGCTAAGTGAGAAGAACTGGAATGGAAATTATTGTTTCTACTATTCTATCTTCTTTATCCAGGTTCTTGTAAAGGTTTTGATTTTCACAACCATGAGGTCTGTGTTGGGATATAGCTGTTATTTATGAAACTTAGAACTTCGTGTTTGTTTTGGTTTTATTTTATCGCTTTCTTTACACAATTGATTTTATGGTTAATCAATGATGGCATTTTTTTCCCGAAAAATAAAAGGTCATAATTCCAACATATTGTCCTGTATGTATAATGGCTTGAATGCTCATATCCAATTTTTTAAGAAATGGGTTCTCTAAGCATGTGAATTTTTTTATGTTCTAGTGTGTTCCATTGAAATTCTCTCAATTGACTCTTCATTGGTGCTTAGGTTGCATTGAAAACTTTAATTATTATTCATCGTGCTTTGAGGGAAGTGGACCCTACATTTCATGAAGAACTCATAAATTATGGAAGAAGCCGTTGCCACATGCTTAACATGGCTCATTTCAAAGATGATTCAAGTCCAAATGGTACCTTATTTTATTGTTAAGGAAATCATTGTTTTTGAAACCTTGAGTTCCTGCTTATGATCTCTTCCCTTTGCTGCTCAGCATGGGATTATTCTTCCTGGGTCCGTACCTATGCCTTATTTTTGGAGGAGAGGCTGGAGTGTTTTCGTGTTTTGAAATATGACGTTGAGATGGATCGTCCTGTAAGATTCTCATCTTCTCGACCTTATTTTTTTTTGTGTTGTTCTTTTGTTTTTTACCTTCAGAAACATAAATAATTTGTGTAGTATCTCTCTATTTTTTGTCACTAGCTTGTTTCCTTAAGGATTCATTGACACTAATTTGATGCAGAGAACCAAAGATTTGGATACTGGTGAACTGCTTGAACACTTACCAGCTTTGCAACAACTTCTTTTCCGTTGTCTTGGTTGTATGGTAAGTATGTAATGCCCTTGATTTACATAGTAGATCAGGTAGTTAA